TCCTGAGGAATCTCTTTTTGACCCTTAGATCATAGGTAACCCATCAGTGTTTCAGAGTTCACGTAGAATGCTAAGTTGTCCAAAATGTCTGAGCATCTTCTAAGACAGTGTTGAATTTGCAAGAGACAGTGTGTGCACAGCTTTTCTCAGTAGACCTATGTGCAATGAGGCAGAGTGGATATGTAAGCCACCCATTGTACATCTTCCACACTTGAATGGCAGGGCACTCCTTTGAAAAACTTGTACATGGAATATTTCCAAGTGCAGAATGATGTGCATAGTCTAGGCTCTCACACAATCCCTATAAATTGTGTTTAACCTCAGGGTTGTCCACACTAAAATGCAACATCCTGGCTGCAGTCATCAACACTATAGTTCAAAATCTCTGACACTGGAGACTACCCTCAATCAAGGAGTCCATTGGTTGTGAGAGATGAAAAATGTTTGGTGATTATAACTTCTGTCATCCTTGGGATATCTGCTCATAGAGCATAGAGTCAGAGTCATACAGCATGAAAACAAACCGTTTGGTCCAACCAGTCAAGGCTGACCATGTTGCCAAACGAAATTAGTCCCGCCTGCCTGCCAATGGCCCATATCCCTCCAAACCTTTCCGAGTCATCAATTTATCCAAATGTCTTTTAAACATTGTAATTATACTTGCAACCACCACTTTCTCTGGCAGTTCATTCCATACACCAACCAAACGGTGTAAAAATGTTTCCCCTCATGTCCTTTTTAAAATCTTTCTTCTGTCATCTTAAAAATACATCCCTTAGTTTTGAACTCCCCCACCCTACGGAAAAGATCCTTGTCGTTCACCTTATCTATGCACCTCATGATTTTACAGAACTCAATAAAATCACCGCTCAACCTCCCACACTCCAGTGAAAAAAGTCACAGCCTTTCCAGTCTATTTTTACATCTCAAACCCTCCATTCACAGCAACATTTAGGTAAGTCTTTTCTGAACCCTCTCCAGTTTAATAATATCCTTCCTATAACAGGGCAAACAGAACGGCACACAATACTACAGAAGAGGCCTTATCAACGTCCTGTACAACCTCAACATGATATCCCAATTCCTATACTCAAAGGTCTGAGCAATGAAGGTAAGCGTGCGAAACGCCTTCTTAACCACCCTGCCTACCGGTGGAACAAATTTCAAAGAATTATGTACCTGAACTCATCTGTCACATAGTTGTGATTTAACCAGGTCTGACACTGAAAATTATAATACAGCAGACATTTTAATAGTTCAAGTGAACATATATTTCCAAAGTAAAAGGTTATTTACAGTGATGTTTCACCTGTGGAACCCTCACTAAATTTTCTTCTTCCTCTGCCTCCTATTGTGTCTAGGTACAGTCCAGACGTCTGAAATTGGAGTGGAGGAAGCTTGCTCTTAAGTTAGACCTTTTCACATGGAATGCATGGGCAGTTGTTCCCTGAAAACTTTGGGTCAGGCCTGTTGAGAGCCTCCTGCCCAGATGTAGGCTTACCCTCATCGATTTGCTGAAGACTTTGTCATTACAATCAATTGCCAGAGGGCATCTCTGCAGTGTCCTGAAAAGAAGCTTCTGCGGGTTCTTGTACATGGCTCCTCCTCCCTCTGGATGTCAAATGGCACATGTTCTCCCTGAGCAGAAGGAGCACCTGGAGTGAGGTAAAGGTGCCTGATCTCCCTCTCGCCTTGTCATAAATGCTGAGCACTTCTGGTTAAAGTGATGACATTTAGGTCTGTTTGCATATCTGGCAGTCATGGGCGGCACGGTGGCACAGTGGTTAGCACTGCTGCCTCACAGCGCCAGGGACCTGGGTTCAATTCCACCCTCGGGCGACTGTCTGTGTGGAGTTTGCACATTGTCCCCGTGTCTGTGTGGGTTCCCTCTGGGTGCTCTGATTTCCTACCACAGTCCAAAGATGTGCAGGTTAGGTGGATTGGCCATGTTAAATTGCCTGTAGAGTTCAGGGATGTGTAGATTAGGTGAGTTATAGGGGGATGGGTTTGGGTGGGTGTTCTGAGGGTCAGTGTGGACTTGTTGGGCTGAAGGGCCTGTTTCCATGCTGTAGGGATTCTATGAATTCACTGAACTTGGCTTTTCATGGCAGTCACCAACCTGACCATAGATGTAGCCCTACACATACCACAGCTAGCACTTTACTGATAACTTTTGTAGACTCCTCCATACTTTGATGCAATTTACTAACTTCATCTGACAGCCCTGCCCATTGTTTTCTGTGCAGTTTGACAAAGTCATTAATAGCCAAGAACAGGGGATAGACTCCTTCCTGAGGGTGAGCAGGTGTTTGGTCTCCAGCAATCCTCTAAGTAGAAGAGATCTGTTTCATCCTTGATCAGCTGCAGGAACATGTTTTTTATATGCATAACAGATTATGCTCCTGGATCTAATTTAGTTAGAGTAGCCAGTGAGGTGAAAGTCTTTGAGCTGGTGGAAAGTACAGATAAAAACCTTGCTCAAACACCCTCTAAAGGGTACGTGGTTTTCACAAGGTGGAGGTGGACCTGAGGTTCTCTAGTGCTGGTCACTTTGCAGGGGTTCGCTGGGAGCCACTAATGCCTGCATAAGAGAATAAAGGAAATTAGTTGTGTAAGAGGGATAAAAGCTTGTGCAGATTAGAATGGGTTAGTACCAGTGTTAATGGGACAGCGGTATAGCACAGCACAATGAAGCTTACTGGTTTGTTGGCCATTTAAGATTTCCTGCCCCCACATGAGCAGTAGAGCTCTTCTCCAGCCAAATCCAGCACTCCCTAATATGGAATGTGGAGTCTGATGTCTGCCAACTCTCAACCCTTCCTGTACCTCTTGGCCCAGTTGTGGGCCAACTTTTGTTGAAATGAAACTGGGTGCAGGATTAAGTATGATGGAAGTAGTTGGAAGAGCATTTCATGAAGAAGTATGAGTAATAGAGGCAGTAAAGTGTTTCCAGTGAGTGAATGGGAGCTGCAAAAGGCTGGAAGGATGACGGGGTGACAGCTGCTGAGCAGACATGATGCATGCAACAGTGACAGCCGTGGTCCATGAGCCTTGGTAAGAGGCATGTGCAGTCGCCGAGTTAGATTGAATAGTGGCCCTGCAATTGTGAGGCAGCAGAGAGAAGATGGTAGCACCTACCCTTACAGAGTGCAGAAGAACACGGAACTCCTTCCTGCACTGAATAAGCATCCTGCTTTACCTGGGACAAAGCACTGACTTGGGCTGCAATTTGGTCTGTTGGCATGGTCTCTCTACTACTCAAACCACCAACGCCTTCAGGTTCTGTCTGTGAAGCAGGGTGCAAGCTTTCCTTTCCTCCGGTCCAAGTCCTCAGTCATAATGGTCAAGCAACACATTGTTAGTTCCTGGCTTGCAGCATCTAAGTGGTATACAGCTGGGATTTAAATACTGCACCAAGAAGGTCAACACCAGAAAATCCCAACAGTAGTGAGTATTTCTGTCTCTAACCATGTGATTGCCCAAGACAGCCGTGCAAGTTGCTGGTTGCGTAATTCATCAGGTGAACAGTGGTAGCTTGTGCAACAGAAGTCACTCCAAGGCATCAATCTCACTTGACAGAACACAATAACTGAAAGTAGGAAATGCTAGGTAAAGTTTGAGGTGCAAATAAAAAGTCTGTCAGTCATTGACTTTCATTTCATGATATGGGCTTTTTTTTAATTTCATGGGATTTTGATGTTGCTGGCTTGGCTGGGATTTATTACATCTGACGGAATCCGTGGTGAGCTGCTATCTTGAATAGCAGCAGTCCATGGGCTGTAGGGACACTGACAGTGCTGTTAGAAAAGGGGTTTCAGGATTTTGACCCAGTGACAATGAAGCAATGGTAATACAGTAATTTTGGGCCAGAAAATATGTGTATTTCAAATGGCTAACAAATGCTCCGTCAGAGTAGCAATCAGAATTTTCAACTATCACACTCACCATCTACAAAACAACGGAAAGAAAACCACAGACTGTCTATTCTATTTTAAAACTGACAAATCTCAAATCTTATGCAATTATAAGAAGAAAAGGTAAAGTTTTCATGAATTATTGAAATTTCCACAAAAAATAATCGTTACTAACATCATGTACACATGCTGATTTAATTAAAAAGCAACTACTTAATATCTTCAATAAACCATTTCATACTCTCAAATAGCAGTCAAATTGAGTTAGGACCTGTAAGAAAAGTACAAATCTTAAAGTTGAATGATTTGACTTTAGTTTGCAACTACAAATTTCATCACATTGTTTTGAACTAAGTACAACACCTCAAAAGCAGAGTTTTTAGTAGTATGTATGCCAGTATGGTCTATTAGCATATATTGCAGGAGGAGAACAAAACTGTATGCCTATTACTAATCCATCTTTTCTTAACAGCCGATATATTCCCCAATAATGACAGCCAAAACATATCTACAAACCCTTTCTTCTCACATTTCATAACAACACTTTTGCATTCTGATCATCAGTAAGGGACAAATTAAAAATAGCTCTCAAGGAAAAATAAAAATCAACAAGCATTTATAAAGATCAACACAACCCAACTTAACAGACCAAATGGAGTAGAACAACATCGCTTCATCGGAGGCTGCACTGATGATGCATGGTGATCACATGGTGACGAAACGTTTGTACAACAACCAGCCAGCTCGGTGAGCAAGCTAACAACCTCAAGAATGGGGTTATTTTAGATTTTCACAGTCATCATTACCAGTCCGCCTTGTCTTAACAGCCTAAATATTACCCACCAACAACACGCAAATATCTGCAAACCATTTCTTCCCCTATTTCATAAGAACATTTTTACATTCTAATTATTAGTAAAGGATGAATTTAAAATAGTTAACAAGTCAAATTAAAAAAGAAAGCATTTATAGACGTTCAAAGCTATATTTGATAAATAAATATATCCTATAATGAGGTTATTTTAAATTTTCACAGCCATCATTAAAAGACTACAAACTGTGTAATTAAATTAATTAGAGACTAACCTTCTCTAAACTGACACCAGTCCTTCTGACAAGAGCCTGCAATTTTGCTATGGTTTCATTTTCCTTTCGTAATTCATAAGTGCTCAGTGCTGATCCAGCTACATTTCCATTCTTCTTATCATAGACCACATCACTTCCTTTAAAATTCTTCAGCTTGGAGGCACTTTCACTGCAGTGCAGGTTCCCTTCAGGTGGAATCCCAAATGCCATTAAAACCTCAGAGATTTCTTGAATGAATTCTAGTTTATTTGGAAATTGTGGCAAGTCTTCTGGAAGTTCAATAAAATGGTTGTCTATGTCCACAAAGCACAGATTTGCCTGAAAAAGTTCAACACATATTTAGAAAAATTTGAAGCTGCCATTCTGTCTGAAATCCAACCATTGATACTGCGACAAGCATGAAGCAAAATAAAAGATACATTGTCATCCACTAATGTCAAGTAAGGAACAGACAACTAAGGTTTCATGGTATTAGCCTCCCAAAGCTGGATTGCACCAATCAATATATTCCACTTATTTTTGTTGCAGTAACCTTGCTGGAAGCACGGATTGCAGACTGTTGATAAAAACACAATCAGGCTCACCGAACAAATGGCTAGCTAAAATACCTACTCAGATTTATGTCAAGAATGGCAAGGTAGACTGCAACTCCATACAAATATGCTTCAGTACCTTAATGAGGAATAAAGAAAAAGTTAGGTTTGAAGTAAAGAAAATTTCACTATAATGTTAAATGGGTCTATTAACCATAATCGATCCAAAGGTTGTCAGTTGCAATTGTAAGTGGCGTTTCAACTTAAGTAACCACATTCGTTATGTTTAATTTGTCATTGATCTGATGCACCATTCTGGGAAAGGAAGAAAATCTAGAAAGAGTTGCCTAGAACCAAAGACATACGAAGGAAGTCTACTGAAATAGCCAAGAATCCTTACTTTTCCCCTGTAACTTTCACAATAGTACACTGGGATTTCTTTACTGTGACTGTAACATGTCCAAAATCAATCAGCCCCATGCTCCAATGCACTGTATAAACTACAGAAAAAAAGGTGAAACAGGAAGTTTCGTATTTAGTTAGCAGGTATAACTTCCTAATTAACCTGCCCACTTTATTAAAATAAAGACCAATTATTACCAGCTGCATCCCCACTCCTACCCCACACCAACCCTCACCTTGAACGATGGGGACATTGTTTTAAATACATCAGTATAAAAGTTAATCTTCCATAAAAATTGACACATGATTTTAGTTTCAAATTTGTCATATACATCATGTAAAAATTGACCTTGGATTTTCAAGGATCAAAGCCTAAGCAATTCAGAACCAAAATTTGATTTTGGAGATGTTTAAAATGGTTTAGGACATCAAAATCACAAAAATTATTAAAATGCATTTCACACATTTATGGGATGGTGATATTCTTCACACTTTCTGGTTAGATGGCAGCATCCTCCTGTCTGTTACATATGTCCTTCTATAAGTTAATGAATCAACTTTATATTAAAGATAGAAATACCAATATTTATTAGTAGACAAATGTTTAAAACATATGTTTAAGTTTTGTTTTTATTTATTCAAATTATTGAAATGATCAGATTAATAATGACAAATCACGTAGCAATTATTAATTATGGGTCATTAATTGGTAGAATCAGAAGACTAATGTCATTTCAGCCAATAACAAATCCTATTTAAGGCAAAATGTCAATTAGAAATACAAATATAACACCACTGAAATTCTAGTGGATCACGTAAACTATCAAGATGCATTTGAGAAAGAAAAACTACATAGCTCAATTTAAACTGAAAGCCGTAGCTTTCATTATGACAACAAACAATTGCACAGCAGCAAGATAGATTAATATTTCTGAGAAAATGGTCCAAGATTGGAGAAAGATATCCAAGCAACTAGAAAACTGCCAAAGAATAACCATACCAAATGAAAACTGAACAAGTGGCCTCAGTTGGAGGAAAAAAAGTGACAGAGCCATTTGACTCTCTGCCCTCAGAAGACTGAAGAAAGAATTATGAATAAAAATTCAACACCAGTGCTAAATGGTTAACACGGTTCAGATTTGATGGGCCAAATAGCCCAATTCTGTTCCTAAATCTTATTGTCTAAGACACAATAAAGTACTCAGAAAGAAAACGAAAATTTCACAATGTCTGCAAGCTGTACTTAAGAATAAACAAATCACCAGCCTTCACCAACTTGTCATTTGACATGAATTGACAAATTATATTTAATCGAATGACTGATACTAGAAACCAGGATGAAATGCCAACAATCTCCAATATGCTGGAAAACAGGACTGTTAATGAGATAAAGCAAAAAAAATGCTTCATAACTGGTCACAAGATGATGCAGTACACAGTAGTTCCACCTTATATGGTAGACAGCTCAGAATTTAAACATTTTCCTCAAAAATAAATTTCAGAAAGGTGCCATCATCCATATTCATAAGAAAGGTTCAGAGAGAAAGATTTGTTGCCTTCAGCTGTACCTGATTAGCAGTCAGTTCAAAAATAAGGAATCATTCATTTAAGACATAGGTAGGGAGAATTTCCTTCTCTGAGTTCTTGGAACCCATGGCCTAAAACATGGTGGGAACAGAGTCTTTGAATATTTTTAAGGCAGAGGTGAGCAGCTTCTTGGTAAACAAGAGTGTGAAAGGTATCAAAAGTAGGCAGGAATGTGGAGTTGTGATTACAATCAGATCAGCCATGATCTTTTTAGATGGCGAAGCAGGTTCGAGGAGTGAATGGCCTACTCTTGCTCCTATCTTGTACTTTTGTTGTCCTTAATAAATGGATCACAAAGAAGTGTGAAATGCGAGATCAAAAGATTTTCGAAAGGAAAATGTCGACATGTCTAGGACATGTTCAAATCCTGCTATCTCAACATTTAATCAGTAATGCAAGATTGACAAACTCCAATTTGGCATTTATTCCTGGCAATCTTACAAGTGTTCCACAGCCCTATGATGTTTGTATAAAGCTTTCATGGTCAGTATATGAGATAAAGGAAGCGAAAGGCAAAAGGGTATTCACTAAGTGTAGATATATACGAACACATTCACTAGCAAGATTGTGTCAATGAAATGTGGACAGATGGAATAAATTTAATTCCAACTTTGCCAAAGTATCGGCTCTAAAATGCAGAATATCAAATGTGTTCAATGGTATTGATGTCAATGATTTGTGGTCTAATGATGATGAAGTTACTACAAATAATGAAACATAGAAATATAGAAAGTACAAGAAACAACTGGCCTTTTGGCTCATTGACACCGTCATTCAATACATTCATGGCTGATCCTCTATCTCAACACTATTCTCCCACACTCTCCATACTTCTGACATCTTTAGTATTGAGAAATTAACTTCTTTGGTAAAAATATTCAATGATGTGGTCTTCACCAATTTATTTAGCGTAGAATTCACAGGTTCAACATCCTCTGAGGACATTTCTTGTTATCTTTGTTCTAAATGGTCTACCCTGTAACCTGAGACATTGACTCCTTGTTCTAGATTCTCCCAACCAGGGGAGCATAATCCCTACATCCAGTCTAGTCAGAGTTTTATACAATTTAATGGCAGACTCTCTCATTTTTCTAAATCCCAATGAATCCCAACCTAGTTGACAATCTCTCCTCATACAACAAACCTACCAACTCAGGAATCAATAAGAACTGCAGATGCTGGAAGCCAGAGGCTATAGGTGTGAGGCTGGAAAAGCACAGCAAGTCAGACAGAATCCGTGGAGCTGGAAAGTTAACGTTTCGAGCCGAAACCCTATGTATGCTTTCAATGGCTAGTTTATAAGGCACCATATACCTTTATGCATCAACACTTCCCAATCTATCACTGTCTAAATAATACTCTGCCATTCTGTCCTATCAAAGTGAAAATCTTCACACTTAACCACATTACACTAAAATCCTTCCAAACTCAGATTCAATGTGATGAGTCAAGTTATTACTTTAAAGACTTAGAAAATATGACAGGATATAGTGTACCTTAAATAGTTTTCACACCACACATTGTTTCAATAAATTGTACAATAAGAGTTCATTATGTCAGTTTCTATTGAGGCTCTTGCATTTAAATAATGTTAGAGAACCAATAGAACCCTTGTGAAGGTGGGGGAAGGGGGGGTGATGGGAAGAAAAAAATGACTAAAGTTCTATCAAACAATGAGACAAAAACAAGCATGCATGATAACCCCTCAAGACTATCATTCTTGTAAAAGTTAACACTCAATATTTTGTAGAAAAGGTTGGACTCAAAAATGCAACCTTTACACGAGTGCAGAAACAACTGAAAAGTGTGCAGTTAGGGGCAAAATTTTGCCTTCAACATCAACAAATGATGCTTGGACCATTTCTAGGTCACGATCTTGACCCAGAAGAAACAGTCACAGTCCATAACGTTCAGAGAGGCCAGCTACTAATTGACAAGAGGGCAGTTTGGTCAGCCAATAAATAGCTGTGAATGCAAAGGTATGACTGCTGCAATGAGAGCCCAACTTAGTTGAACTATGGCAAATACTTGAAAGATGAAATATAAGAATCAGAGAAAGAGGAGTGGGCGCAGAAGCCTGCACCGAAATTAGGGTTGTCCTTTTTCAAGCCCAGAGTTAGTGAGGATGGGTGGAGTAAGTTTACTATTTTCCACCATCCACTTTCCAGAGGGTGGAAATAAAAGGGATCCTAGCTATACATTGAAGGGGTGAAGGTTGCTGAAACAAATAGTGCACATAAGAGTAATCAACAGGAGCTGACTGTAGTTCCTTAAAAATGTTCAGTGACTTTCTTTGTTCTGATACAGTGATTGCAATGTGAGAATCTGATACCCAGGACATACAAATTTGGGAGACAAACCTGCCTGATAATGATGCTGCTCCTGAACGTGGAAAAATTTTATGGGAAAATTGCATCTCTGGGGAATACTTACTGATCCATTAACAAGGATAAGAGTCGCAACACTGTTGATTCCCAGCAAATGCTGTTGCAGGCAGATTCTTATGGATATTAGAAGGCCTTATTTTGCTCTCTTTTGCCTTTGCACAATGCATGGGTGAGGGATATCACTAGAGGAGGACAGCCCAGGTCATCACTGGCACTACAGGAGGGAAGAAGTGGAAATCATCAGACTGACTGTATGGGACCCAATTAGAGAAGAAGAGATCGGCATACCAGAGAGGGTGAAAAAGATAGCAATAAAGGGTGTGAAACATGCTCCTCATAGTATGACAGTTTGCCAAAAACTGCATTTCAAAGTCATCAGCACAGCAGAGGCTTCTGCTGTTAAATGTTG